GAAAGCAGAGACTCAGCTTCATAGGGGAAAAACAATGGTAGGGCATTGAACTAGATGTGGTCTTTGTTGAATCAGGCTTTCATTTTCCTAGCCAGGATCCAGCATGAAAATTCAATGAAATAATCCCCTGATGGCCACTAGATGGCGCATGAGAACAAAAGAGATGGTGATATTTATAGGCCACAGCAACCCTTCTTTCAAACAGTTGTAGAATTTATTTTCTAAGTGTCTCATTGAATTCAGACTAATAACCAATGTCAGAAATGCCCGACCTTTTATTTCTCCAATATGAAACTCCGAGTTATTCCCAATTTGATAAATCTAAGCAGAGAGCCAATTCTTTATAATTTTTTTTTTTTTTGGCAGAAGATTAACCAAAAAGGGCTCCTTGGCATCATGTTATTCAATAACTCTTGCCCTAGCTGTAGCAAAATTATAGAAAATTGAATGTATGAAAAAGATGACAGAATTCCAGAATTGTCCCTGTGAACTCTACGAAATGGATTGCAATGTTATTTTGGATGACAATATGTTTGTTACCATGAATACAGGCTTCTGGCATGACACAAAGAACAGGGCCAAAAATCTTCCAAGCTCCATCTGCAGAGGTGAAACAAAAAGCTAGGTTGTGAAACGGGCAGATTCTATAACTCAATTGATTTTTATTTCAACTATTATAATTTCCATTTTAGACATTCTCTTACAGTTATTATGTGTGCTGTGGTTTATGTGTGGGGGCTCAGACATGTGTGTGTCATGGCACATATGTAGACCTCAGAAAGAAGCTTGGGGAAGTTGGCTCTCTCTGTGTAACATGCAGGACTTCAGGTCCTCAGGATTGATAGCAAGCCCCTCTACACGATGAGCCATGTTGTTGACATGTAATTTTAATTTCTTCACTTCATTACTTCTATTTCTTGTGAGCCATGGAACCCAGGGAGGCAAGTGGAATAAGAAGCAGTAAATAAAAGCTAGAAAACTAACGACTATTGTATAGCTGAGTCAAAGATTGAATGTTTCTACCGGATAGTTTCATTTGACCCAACCCATATAATTCTCCCACTCCCCTTTTTGATGTCTCTAATGCCAGGGAAATAATGGAAATTATGGTTAGAAGGGTTAGTCTGAGCCTTGTCCCTTTAAATAAGCCAAGCCCTCAGTTAGAAAGCACTTTTCAGTGTAGAAGAAAAATGGCATCATCAAGGGGCAAAGGTAAGAGTCTTTCCTTGTCACAACTGCACAAGCAAAGTCACAGACCTGTGAGTAAGGGTGAGCCAATAGTTCCAAAGCAAATCTGAGACTTAACCTATCACACACTCACATGTAACTAGTGTAAGCTGCTGTTTACATTCTCTCATTTAATTCCTCTCTCAGTTCTGTGATAGAGGGGGCTTGATTATTGTGTGTGTGTGTGTGTGTGTGTGTGTGTGTGTGTGTGTGTGTGTGTTCTCGCATGCTCGAGCACCTGCCTACATACCTAAGGAAGTCCAGAAGTAAGTCCAGGGATTGATGGTTGTCTGTCAAGTGATGGTGCCAGCTTTGATTTCTCAAGATCCAACTTGTAAGCACATCAGTGTCATCTTTCTGGAGATAAGTGACATTCAAATGTTTGGATCAGCATATTCTTTAGCTACCATCTCACCTGTCTGGTCCTATGTCCTTCCCTCTCTGCTCCAGTGACCACAGAGAAATAGTTTTACTTAAAAACTATTTTACTTAAAAACTTTTGCCAAGCAGTGGTAGTGAACACCTTTAATCCTACACGTGGGAGGCAGAAGCAGGCAGATTTCTGAGTTTGAGGCCAGGCTGGTCTACATAGCTAGTTCCAGGATGTGTATGGCTGATACACAGAGAAACCCTGTCTTGAAAGACAAACAAACAAACAAAAAAACAATGTTGATGCATCTCTAGAACACCCCACCCCCTCCCTGACCAAGAACTGCACAGGGGAATGTTTTATGGGAGGGGACCTCTGGCTTCAAGTAACAGTTGATGGCAATAGAAGGTGGGGGTCAGTTTTCTTCAGCACTGTAACCCATGATAGGAGCCTGTGAACCAGTGGATGGCACTCCCCACCATCAGAATATAAGCAGCACTAACTAGACTCAGGATGTTTTAAAAGAAGAAAAGAGAGTGGGGGGAGGACAAGGTAGTACAAAGTGGGGAGGGAGATGGAAGAGTTGCTAAAAGAATTGGAGAGGAGAGTAGGGAGGCAGATATGATTTAAATACATTGTATTGCATGTATGAATTTACCAACAAATTTTTAAAAATTTAAAATGTAGATGGAAAAAGAATACAGTTTGTTCTGTTTTTCCCCACTCTTTACAAATAAGAAATTGTTGGAACTCAAATTCTAATGTTAGTCAAGTTGACCTTTCTTTTTAAAATTTTATTTTATCTCTTAGTTTTATGGCTGTTCTGTCAGCAGGTGTGTCTGGGCATCACATGTGTGCCTGGTGCCCTTGGAGACCAGAAGAGGGTGTCAGAGCCCCTGGAACTGGAGTCAAAGTTCTAAGCCACCATGTGGGTCCTGGGAATTAGACCCAGGTCTCTGGAAGAGCAGCCAGTGTTCTTAACTGCTGAGCCACCTCTCCAGCCCCTACAGTTGATTTTTCAGTGCTTATGATCAGATTTTTTGGGTTTAAGCAGTTTGTGTCTTTCATCTCCAAAACTGTATGCCATTGATCATAACTAAGATGGCCCTTTCTTCACTATTCTGATTTCCAGTGGAGAATATAAATATTACATACAACAAAGTCAAGGAGGGGAATACCTTGTCCAAGCCTCCAGATGGGGCATTGTATGGTAACAGGCATTCCTATCTACCTGTCAACTTTGTCTAAGAAAACCCTTCAGATGCTATCCTTTACAATAACTTAGGAGAAAGTGAGTAAAAGATCAGAATCATTTATTTTGGCACAAGTGTGGGGAAGGCCTTGGGGGTGCAAAGGGGCTGATTCACTGCACCCATGATTCTTGCATATCAAGTGAAACTGGGTGTGTTCCTAATTCCACCGTCTCAGAAGTTTCATCTCTAAAATGGGAGGGAGGGAGCTTCATGTACTTCAGAACCTAACCTGCTGGGCTCCTTCAGGCCCCACACCTAAGTAACTGAAAGGAGAGCAAAGATGTTTAATCAAAGCTAAAAAAAATTATTTCAAGATCATATTATAATTAATACTCAAAAGTTCTTAGAGATACTTAGATGAAAGCTCAAAAGGAAAGATGATCCTGGCTTAGAAAACTGCATGAGTAATTAATTGCAGATGACTAATGCTCTTTTGCCTGCAGCCCTCCCCCTCAGGAGCACAGAAGTAGGATAAGCAATACGACTGACTCAAACCTCTCTGCACAAAGTGAGGAAAAAAAAAAAAACAGCTGAGCAATTACGGATGTGACTCAGTAGACGTGGTTTTCTTTCTTTTTCTTCAATCGGTTTTTAAAGTAAATTTCTTTGTGTGTTGGGGCACATACATGTGTATGTTCCATAGCATGTATGTGGAGGTCAGAGGACCACTTGTGAGATGCGATCCTCTGCTACTTGTGGATCCTGAGTTTCCAATTCAGGTGGTCAGGTTTGAGGTCAAAGTTCAGTTCTGCCACACTATACCACATGTCTTTATAGTCACTGATTGGCAGACAAGGAAAAGGGAAAGCAGACTATTTCATCCTGTCAATCAAATTTGTTGATCCCACCCCTATTTGCTTGTCGTCTAATTCTGTCATGAGTTATGGGGACAGTTTTTGTGCATCAGACCTATCTATTGCTTTCAAGAGAAAAGATGTATAGAACTAACAACCCTAAAAAATGTATTTTTGGATGAGCTTAGCATATATGCGTTAACATTAATGTTAAAGATAGTAATGGTAGTAAGAACAACTAGTGATCCAGTTGGAATGCTGGATATGTTTGTGGGGAGCTGGAAATAAAACCAAGGTGTTATTAAGATGGGCTGAGAAGGGCTGGATCCGTGTCTGTCAGAACTTGGGCACGACCACATCAGCTGCCACGAGCCCTTCTGTGGACTGACTCCATTCAGTCTAGTATGAATGAAAGGCAGTGCTACTCTGGGAATGTCTCTGTCCAGTGCTGGTTCCATTAACTCGTACTGAATGCGTATGATTTTGCAGCAGACCAGGAAAATTGCTGCCTGTCTGTAGTAGCTCTAAAATTTTCTACTTCCACTCTTTTCCTCAGAAATAGAGAGCAATTAATTCTAGATCACAGGACTCCTAAAACATAAACCTAACCCTTTTAAATTTAAATGATTTATGCATGTCTTGGTTTTTCTGCACTGACCTCTTGAAGTAGGTCCAGATCAATGCAAATTATTAACTCACTCTCTCCTTTCCTCCCTTCCTCCTTTCATTCCCTCCCTCTCTTCCTTTCCCTCCCCCACCCCCCAGGAATTTGAGTCAGAGTCTTGCCACATAGCCTTGTCTGGCCTTAAAACAAGCAATGTAGACCAGTATAGCCTCTAGTTCATGATCCTCCTGCCTCTGCCTCCCCAGTACTAGGTAGGATTAAAGTCATGTGTTGCCATGCCTGGCTTTCATTTTCTCTTTAAAGAAATGAAGTCTATTCCCAAAACTTTGGCCACTGGAGCTAATAGCAGATGACTGAGGCTGCACACACACCCTTGCCATGTGTCATGTCCTTGGGACTATTGTACCTCTCTTGTCTGTAATCTAGACTAGAAGAGTTTTTTTTTTTTTCCATTTTCCATATGGATGGCAATATAAGCAAGTTGGCTCACTCCAGGGTGCTTATATCTTCCTTTCTTTGCAAACCAACTTTTAGGTACAGTATCTAATGCATAGTCAATGCCAAATATGTAAATAGCGACTGCTATTTTAGCTTGTCTAATAAATAATTCAATTAGAGAAGAAAGAATAGACTGGGGCTTGTTTGCTTGTTTTGTTTGTTTAAGCTTTACTGAAGTATAAGTTTTATTGGAAAGAGGAAAATATTAAGCCCTCAAAAGAATTGTTATGATAGTGCTTGCTTTGGCAGCTCATACACTAAAACTGGAATGATACAGAGAAGATTAGCATGGCTCTTGCGCAAGGATGACTTGAAAATTCGTGACATGTTAAAAAAATTGCTATGATTTAATGAAAAGACCTAGTCTCAACTCTGCATGCAGATCTTGCTGAACTGGTGGTTTACATTGTGGTAAATCTAGAATTTTTCTTTCATGTTTCTTTCCCATTGCATTTTTTCTTTTTTAGGTAAACTCTTTAAAAGTACAGGAAGATATCCTTAGGATATTTGCCCTTACATACTTGGGAATGCATTTTTGTGCTTAATAGGTGCCCCATCCCTTACAATCAACAGGCAGTAAAGAGTCTCCATTCTGCTGTTGGGAAGTTGAGTGATGGTGCCGGGTTCTTTTGATGGGATGATGACCTATAACAGGGATGCTTGGCTCAAGAGCCAGCCTCAGGCTAAACATTGAATATCCACCAGAAGGCCAGTGACTGGGAATTATAAGTGTGTCTCTGGGCCATTGATATCAGAAAATAAACTCAACTTTCTATTAAAATACTTCAGGTAGGGCTCAGGCAAGATAGCTCAATGGGCAAAGGCACCCAACAGCAAATCTGATGACCTGGTGGTCTGAGTGTGAGCCCCAGAACCCCACATGGTAGAAGAAAAAACCTAAATTCTGCAAACTGTCCTCTGACCTTCACATGTACACTGGCTTTTCTGGAAGTTGGGTGGCAGGGGTAGTTCACAGAAGGTGATAGCCTTTGTGAGCCCTCTCAGTGGGGATCAAAAGTAATTTTCCTGAAATGTTTAGCTATTGATTTTCCTTTCTGTTTTCAGACAAGGTCTCAATATATAGCCCAGGGTAGCTAGGAACTTGTGGTAGAATCCAGACTTGCCTGGAACTCACTGTGATCCTCTTGTCTCATTCCATCTGAGTGGTGGGGTTACATGCATGTGTCACCATACCTGGCTTAGGCATTGTTTTTTTTTTTTTCCTCTCTGTATCTAATTTAATCTCATGGTCATTCTTTCCTTCTTCTTTTCATAGTTAATGAAAATGTTGTGGTTATTGAAAATGTTATGTAAAATGTTCATTAAAAATGAAATAATGTCCCTGATTTTAGAGGAATTGCATTGAGCCTCTCTCCATTTAATTTGATGTTGGCTGTCGGCTTGCTGTAAATTGAGAGCAGGGAAGAGGGTGGAGGGAGCTACAAGAATGAGAAGGGAAGAAGAGGAAGGATGCAGAGGTCAGGGGGGAGCAGAAAGGTTGAGTCAGGTATAGATTAGAAGAAAGGATATGTGATAGGTAGGGTTTTAGTTGGGGGTTGGTAGGGGAGGACAGGAGGAAGAATGGAACTGGGATTGTCATGTAATTCAATCATGTTTGTAACTCAAAGAAAAAAAAATGAAATAATGTCTACCTCCATCCACGGGACTAGGTGAGCTTGGACCTGTTTCCAGCCCACCTTCCTCTGCCCTACTTGGAGACACCTGAGACCTGGGGACTGCACACTGATGATCCCATCCTGACAGGATCCAGCCCATCCAGAGACTTTCAAGGCTCCAGTACCAGTCCTGCCTCCATCCATGGGAAGAGGAGACACATCAGAGAATTGGACCTGTTTGCACCCACCTGAAGGGAAACTTGGTCCTGTACCAAGCAGGAGAGAAAGAGACCCCTTCTACATACACTGGAACGAGGTATTGGAAGAAGACAATATAAAAACACATTCAACAACAGAAAAACCAATATGACACCACCAGAATCTAGGGACTCTACACCAGCAAGATCTGAACATCCCAACGCTTAACAAAGCACCACATGGAACTTTCTCTAAAACTGACCACATACTTGGCAACATAGCAAACCTCAACAGGTACAAAAAATTAGAATAACTGTCTGTATCTTATCAGACCACCATGCTTTAAAGTTAGAATTCAACAACAACATAAATTGCAGAAAACCCTACAAACTCATGGAAATTGAATGCTGCCCAATTGCACCATCCCTGGGTCAAGGAAGAAATAAAAGAATTAAAGATTTCCTAGAATTCAATGAAAATGAAGACACAACATACCCAAACTTGTAGGACAACTTAGAAAGCAGGGCTAAGAGGAAAGTTCATAGCACTAAGTGCCCACATGAAGAAACTGGAAAATAGTCACACTAGAGAATTAAGAGCACAACTGAAAGCTCTAGAACACAAAGAAGCCAATGCACTCCGGAGGAGTAGATTCCAGGAAATAATCAAACTGAGGGCTGCAATCAATAAAGTGGAAACTAGGAAAACATTACAAATAATCAATGTAATGAAGAGTTGGTTCTTTGAGAAGATCAACAAGATAGACAAACCTTTATCTAAACTTACCAAAAGGCAGAGAATGAACATGCAAATTGACAAAACCAGAAATGAAAAGGGGGACATAACAACAGACACTGAGGAAATCCAGAGAATTATCAGGTCATATATTGAAAACCTATACTCCTCAAAATTTGAAAATCTAAAAAAAATGGACAATTTTCTGGACAGATATCACTTACCAAAATTAAATCAAGAACAGATAAGCAATTTAAATAGACCTATATACCCTAAAGAAATAGAAGCAGTCATCAAAATTCTCCCAATCAAAAAAAGCCCAGGGTCAGATGACTTCAGTACAGAATTCCACCAGATATTCAAAGAACAACTAATATCAATTCTTCTCAAAGTATTCCACACAATAGAAGCAGAAGGGTCATTGCCAAACTCTTTTTACGAGGTTTCAATAACTTTGGTACCCAAGCCACACAAAGACTCAACTAAGAAAGAACAACAGACCACTCTCCCTCATCAACATTGATGCAAAAATACTCAATTAAATACTGACAAATCGAATCCAAGAACACATCAGAGAAATCATCCACCATGATCAAGTAGGCTTCATCCCAGGGATGCAAGGATGGTTCAACATATGAAAATCCATCAATATAATCCACCATATAAACAGACTGAGAAAGAAAATCCACATGATAATCTCGCTAGATGCTGAAAAAACCTTTGACAAAATCCAATACCCCTTCATGATAAAGATCTTGGAGAGAACAGGCATATCAGGAACATACCTAAACATAACAAAAGCAATATACAGTAAGCCAAGAGACAATATCAAACTAAATGGAGAGAAACTCAATACAATTCCTCTAAAATCAGGAACAAGACAAGGCTGTGTGGACTGTCTCTATACCTCTTCAATATTGTCCTTGAAGTTCTAGCTAGAGCAATGAGACAACAAAAGTAAATCAAGGGGGTAAAAATTGGAAAGCAAGAAGTCAAACTCTCACTATTTGCAGATGATATGATAGTTTACATAAGTGACCGGAAAACCTCTACCAACAGCTGATAAACACCTTCAGCAAAGTGGCAGGATACAAGATTAACTCAAAAAAAAATCAGTACCCCTACTGTATATAGATGATAAATGCACTGAGAAAGAAATCAGGGAAACATCACTTTTTACAATGGCCGAAAACAACATAAAATACCTTGGGGTAATACTAACAAAAAAAGTGAAAGTCCTGTATGACAAGAACTTTGAGTCTTTAAAGAAAGAAATTAAAGAAGATACCAGAAAATGGAAGGATCTTCCATGTTCTTGGATAGGTAGGATCAACATAGAAAAAATGGCATTCTTGCCAAAAAACAATCTACAGATTCAACACAATCCCCATCAAAATCACAGCACAATTCTTCACAGACCTTGAAAGAACAATTCTCAACTTTATATGGAAAAACAAAAGACCCCGGATAGCCAAAACAACCCTGCACAATAAAGGATCTTCTGGAGGCATCACAATCCCTGACTTCAAGATCTATTTTAGACCTATAGTCCTGAAAACAGCTTTGCATTGGCACAAAAAAAATAGACAGGTAGACCAATGGAATCGAACTGAAAACCCTGATATTAACCCACACACCTACAAACACCTGATTTTTGACAAAGAAGCTAAAATTATACAATGAAAAAAAAAGCAAATGGTGCTGGCATAACTGGATGCTGATGTGTAGAAGACTGTAGATAGCTCCTTATCTATCCCCATGCACAAAACTTAAGTCCAAATGGGTCAGAGACCTCAACATAAATCCAGCCACACTGAACCTCTTAGAAAAGAAGGTAGGTCATTGTTGAATTAATTGGTTCAGGAGACCACTTCCTGAACATTACACCAGTAGCACAGACCCTTAGATCTACAATTAATAAATGGAACCTCCTGAAACTGAGAAGCTTTTGTAAAGCAAAGGACACAGTCTACAAGACAAAATGGCAGCTCACAGAATGGGAAAAGATATTCACCAACCCCACACCTGACAGAGAGCTGATTTTCAAAATATACAAAGAACTTAAGAAGCTAGCCTCCAACTAATCCAATTAGAAATTGGGGTATAGAACTAAATAGAGAATTCTCAATAGAGGAATCTAAAATGG